GACTGAGCCACCCAGGCGCCCCTGTTTTCTCAGGTTTTTTGCTCACAAAATGGCCTGCAAGATAGTAGAAGGTCTGTAGGATTGTAACATGGTTCTATTATAGGAGGGATCTAAGTGATTCCAAGATACTTTAAAAGAACCAGGGATGGTTAGGATTGTCAATTACCGATACAGTTATGTGACTCAGTTTCTAAATGGGGCCTGGGGCGAGTTTTAGTTTCCTCGTAAGTAGAAGGGGGAAATGATTTTTTTACCAAATGTTAGTGTAAAAATTAATGAGATGGCGCATCATACAAAGCACTTAGCACTATCCCTGACAATAAGCACCCAATAAATGGAAGAATATGTACACACACACACACACACACACACACACACCTTTATTTCCACTGTCAGGTCTTGTCTATTTACAGCTTCTGTTCAGGAAACTTCTTTATCTGTCTATCTGGCCTTTACTTCTGGCCTAATTTCTGGTGTCTAGCCAGCTGTTCCAGATGTTGCCATTAAGCTGTCCTTTAAATGGTCATGTTTCTTTGACCTACTGACAGTGACTTTTGAAGAGAACCCATTACGATGGTGATTTTAGGATTCACAGAACCATGTAACTTTAGAACTTTATTTGAAAGATGAGGAATATGAGGTCCAGAGAATGTAGGTAATTTCCCCCAAATCACACAGTTCTCAAGTCTAGATTTCTGGGTTGTCAGTATTGTCTTTTACGTACGTAAGAGTCCTTCAGACCCAGAGGAGAGTCTGGGCAAAGCACAGGATTTAGATTGAGAAGGGGTTATATTTGAACATAAAAGAGGACTTAATAGTGATAAAATATTTGCAAATTGTGACCTTATGCAAGGTGCTTATCTCTCCATTTCTAAAATAATGTGCACCTACTTGCCTCGTAGGATCTTGTGAGATCTAGATTCTAGACAGTGTAGGTGAAAATATTTGTAAGCTGCAAAATGCTTGTAAATACTAATTTTTTCTTTTATAAGCATATGACACACTACATATACGTATATATGTATATATACATATACGTGTTATATGTGTATCGGGACATAGGTGTATATGTGTGAATCTTAATAAATTAATGTGCTAATAAAACCATTTTCAATCAAACCCAACTTTTGCATGGCTTTTATCTGTAATGTCCATTTATGACCATCTGCGGTAGGCTCTCTGTATGCTTCAAAAGAGAGCTCAGTATCTTGGAGGTTGGGCTAAAAATGGGAAAGAATGCAGAAGGGGATTTTTGCTGCCTTGAAATCCAGGTCAACCAGCTGGGTGCTTAACAGGTAGAAAAGCCCCTTGCCATAGGGCATCAGGAGACCTTGCCCTAGAAGGGCTGAATATATGGGGACATCAAGCTGTTTTCAGCTTTATGAATATTAAGCTATTTCTTTGAATCTCAATGGATGATTTACTGGGATTAACTGCTCTCTGTATGAATTAGGAAAGTAAATACAATTCTAGTTTCTTGTCATACAGGAATTTATAAAGAGCATGCAGGAATGGCACATTCATTTCAACTTGAGGGCACTCTTCAGTTGCTTGGTGGTGAGGTGTTCGAGAACTAAGCAGAAAGAGATTTGGGGACTGAGTGTGGGTCAAGATAGACAAGTGCCATCATCATTCTAGTAGTGTGTGTGCTGTCGGCTTAGGTGGGAACAATACATGTGCATATTGAAAATGGTAGCAGGGCCTTAGTTATAATCCTGGTGTCATCACATCTACCTGGGAGACCTTGAACAAGACTCTGAATCACCCAGGACTTTCATTTTCCTCATTTACAAAATAATTAGCATGGCCATCTTCTGTTTCTGAGAAAGGGACAGTGTACGGTTTTATTCATGTCAACTCCAGGACATCTTTACCAGGGAAGATGACTGTCCTTAGTGGTTACAAAGGTATAATTCTACCCTATTTACCTTTTAGGCTCTTGTGAGATCTAGATTATAGAGAATGTGTGTGAAACCATTGTGTAAACTGCAAAGGCTACATAAATATTAAGCCACAAATAGTGGCTTCAGATCCTCAAGTTTCCTAAGTAGTATGCTCGCTAGACAGTCAACAATATGAAAGAAATTCTATTCCTTTTAAAGAGTTTTCTCAGAACATTCCTTTGGCTATAGCAAAGGAAAATAAAATTAATAATTATATTTTTAATGGATGAAAGCTGAATGTGTTTGACTTGGAAACTTTCATCATCCTCTGTGACTCTCAAAATGAGAGAGAGAATTGCTGTATTTTCCTTTTCCATTAAGAGAAAGGAATTAATGTGCTTGTTTGTTTCTTTTTGTTTGATATAAACATTTATAAAACCTTTTTTTTCCTCCCAGCCCCCTGAAATCAAGCTGAACATTGACTCAGCAGATTTTATTTGGCCTGATTTTAGCTAAATCATTCTTTTTTCCTGTTTAGAGAGAAAAAAAAGTCATTCCACACATTGCGATATATATTCAAGTGATGGGGACCCCAGAAAGTTGACAGGGGGAAGTTTAGAAAACCCTCACATATGCAGCCCGCTACACATTGTATTCCTCCTGTGAGATTTGTGGTTTTATTTTCTTCCATATTGTCATCTTATTTAAAAGGGTGGAAGATTATGGATGACCAGTTGGCATCTTAATCAAGGCGAGGGGAGAGTATTCGTGAATTGAGCTCATGCTTGCCCCTGGCTTTTGAGGAAAAGAACCCATGTATGATCACTCGGTCTCTGTTTTCAGATCAGACTCCGACCCCAACGAGATTCCTGAAGAACTGTGAGGAAGTGGGGCTCTTCAATGAGCTGGACTGCTCCCTCGAGCATGAGTTCAGGAAGGCTCAGGAGGAGGAGAGCAGCAAGCGGGTAGGTTTGCTTGAATGGACTCCTTGGCAGGTTCCTCCCCTAACCCCCGTGAGAATCTTCTGTGTGGGAACTTTGTTGGCACTACAGATTGTGCGGATGTGGCCCTAAAACAGCATTTTATCCATTTGCAAGTATTTGTCTATTTTTTTTTTTTTTAAAAAGGATGAATCCCTGATTGTGGTAGAATCCATCGTGGCAGAAACAGACATCTGAAATAGGAAATTCAAGCAAAAAAAAAAAAAAACCCAAAACAAAACACCTGATTCTTGAACCTTGAGTTGGATAACTCACAGACTCTTTATATTCAAAACTAGTTGTTTTACTTTGCTAAATATTTAGTAGGAAGCCTTACATGGGTGTTGCATGCAGAAGACAAGAGTCAAAGAATAATTGTAGCAGTAGGAGAGGGGGTTTCATCTGATTTTGTCCCAGGTTCTCACTGTCCTATTTCCATAATCTTCCCGGTAGACCTCCGCCAGTTTCAGTTACTTCCCATTCGTATTATTGAACATCTGTTATTGTTGAGACAAATGGTTTAAATATACGTGTGGATTATTTGTTCTTACAAATGTAGAAAATCCACTTTATGCATGCCTCCAGAATATATTCAGTTTCTCGTAATGTTATGCTTGCATTTTAAAAATCACTTTGCGAGATTAAGGAAAGGAAACGGGGTCACAAGTAAATGTGATAATGAAGCTCTTTAGCATTTTTTCCATTGTTACGATAGAGCATTATTGAATGCTCACAATGTACCAAACAACAAATTAGACACATTCCATGATCAGAGACTTAAAATGTGGAAATGGGTTGAAAGGAAGGGCTGGCTAGGTTGTAATGGATTCTGAAGGTCCAGCTGTTCCATCCGGAGAAGATATTGTAAAGGCTCTGATATTTCAAAACCTTCGAATTCTCCTCTACGTGAAATTATAATAATCCCCCTCCACCAGATTTTTCATGTCACATTCTCACATTAAAACAGTCAAGGGCTTGCACTGAGTCTGTGCTGCTTTTGGAAAAATCATCGTAATTGGTGGAGGATACAAGAGAGGTATAAAATCTCAATCAGCTCATTTTATTTATGTATAATTAATTTACACAACCACTTTCCCCACCCCTCAAGTGACATGAAAGGCTTTCCGCCCCCCACTTTTAAAATGAATACTTTTTTAGCACTTATTTGCCAGGCACTGTTCTGAGCACTTAAAAATTTAACTCAAAAAAAAAAAAAAAGGTGTACATTCTATATTTCACTGCAATAGAAACATATTTTTTCAAAAATGAGAATTTACAAGGGTGAAGAAGAACCAAAACGTCTAGTAAATTTCCTCTGTTTGAGTTCTACATTTAGCTCTCTTGGTAAATGTGGCATTTGTGAAAAAACTGAAGGATTATAAGTTCGTTCATTCCTCAAGATAGTCAAGGTTGGTTTCTTAGATTAAACTGAACTGTAAGAAAGGTGTATGCTAGTTCCTATTGGTTTATATTGTCTTCATTTCTGAGAGAATGGTTTTAACTGAAGTATGTGTCCTTAATTTTCCTACAGACATTTACCAAGGACAGCTTTAGGAAGCCCTATGGTAAGGGTGTGGTTTTAGATGTTCTCCTTTACGTAGTACTCATGACTCCTATATGAAGCCCCATGGGAGGAAATTCTTGCAGATCTGAATTCCAGGAAATTGTTTGCTTCCCCTAAGGAACTGAAATATTTTCTCCGTGTGGACAGGAGAATCATGTAACTAGTTCTGTTTCTCTTTTCGCTTTGACTGCTCGGTTAACAGAAAGCCAAGTTTACTGCTTAACTTTGAGAACTTTTTAGAACACTGTGATGAACATATTTTACTTCCCTCCAGACTAGACTTTCAGTTCTAGTTTATATTTCCTCTGGTCCTGATTTTTTTAATTTAAAAAACATTTTTATGCTATACATTTTTTTTTTCTGAATTACTTTTGAGTCCTTGTGGGTTGAGAAAGAGTACAAATAAACTTTATAAATTAAAATAATCAGGCAAGCAACTTTGAAAAAAAGGACAATTGCAGTTATAGAAATACATATTTTAAATACATATTTAAAATATTTTTAAAAAGTGTCTTTGAATCTTGCTTTTGTTTTTTAATTTATTTTTTTAATTTAAATTTTAGTTAATATACAGTGCAATATTGGTTTCTGAAGTAGAATTCAGTGATTTATAACTTACATACAACACCCAGTGCTCATTACAAGTTCCCTCCTTAATACCCATCACCCATCTAGCCCATCCCCCACCCACCTCCCTCCATCAACCCTCAGCCTGTTCTCCATCATTGAGAGTCTCTTACGGTTTGTTTCCCTCTCTCCCTTTTTTCTTTTCCCCCTTTCCATATATTCATCTCTTTTCTTTCTTAAATTCCACATATGAGTGAGGTCATATTGTATTTGTCTCTCTCTGACTGATTGATTTCACTTAGCATAATACTCTAGTTCCATCCATGTTGTTGCCAATGGCAAAATTTCATTCTTTTTGATGGCTGAGTGATACTCCATAAGACACATAAAATACATTTATGTAATATATAAATTTTATATAAATATATTTATATATATATATATATAGACACACATACCACATCTTTATCCATTCATCAGTTGATGGACATTTGGGCTCTCTCCATAGTTTG